TCATAAAAATTTTTATGAAAATGACTATAAATGACATGTCATTTTAAAATAACAATATCATTTATTATAAAAGACTTTTATACAAAATCATAGCAAAATGACAAGTCATAAAAAATATTTTTATAAATGATATTAAAATGACAAATAAATGACAATAAAACTAATACTAAATATGTTCTTAATACCAAACTTCTATGTGAAAAACAATTCTTAAATAACCTTTAAATTGCTTAATTATACTTCTTAACTAACTTCTTTAAAATTGCCTTTAGCAAACAGCAATTATCAATTTATTTAACTGATATCAAAAAATCCAAGAAAAAATAATAAAATCTCTACAATTATAAAGTAATTCTTAATCAGATAAGTTAAAAACATGCTCTAAAGGTGAATTCTTCTATAATTTTAATATTGTATATGTAATTGTCACCTACATATAAAATAAAGAATTAAAAAAAAGTTTAAGTGATTATGTTATAGAAATATCTCGCTAGCCACATAGTGCCTAACTCAGCAATCAGCCAACCAGAAATTGGAATGCCAAAGAGAGCCATTATCTCTCCAAGCTGTCTTATTTTCTCATCTAGTTACAAGTTTTTATATATGCACATATATATTAATTAAGAATAATAATATAACTAACTAATACTCAAAGCATATTATTTTTCCCTTCATACATATAACTAAGAAAAACTCACTGCACATGACAGACATTAATCTAGTTTACAAATTATACAGTTATCTGATTATTTGTTATGCTGTTTGTTATTATGTTTTGCAAGTTGTTATTGACTAACTGAATTTTAATTTATTGTAGTTTGCAAATTAATGCATCTTTAATCAAATTTGTAGGTCGCTATACACTAATACAATTACTTGAACAACTATCTGATTGTGTCCAGTTGCGTGATTATACAATTTTTTATTATTATTCTTGATCAGATACTTTATTAATGTATATAAAAATGATGAAATAACATATGAAAATAGGTTTGCTATAATAACCTAAACTATAATAAATTACATATTTAGTTACAATAAAATAGAACCCTAAACCAGGAGTTTCTCTGTAAATTTTCATAGCTATGATAAGAATCGATCATGGTGAGGTGTGTGATAGCATATTAACCTCTATGGAGAAAATTAATGTAAAAACAGTCCTTGTATTGCAAATGCAGCCATAGAGCCGAAATATTAAATAGCATAAGGTTCTTACACTGCAAATGCAGCCATAGAGCTGAAATATTAAATAGCATAAGGTCCTTATACTGCAAATGCCTAAAACTTACAAAAACAAGGTCCTTGCACTGTTATTGCAACCTTGGAGCCTAATAGCTTACCTATTTCCTAAGGACTTCAAGATTCACATTCATATTACAAGGTTCTTGTACTGCCCTGCAGCCACAGAGCCTGTTAGAATAAGTCCTTGCATTGCTTCTGCAACTGAGGAGTTTAAGAAATTTGTGTCTTAAACTGGGTGGGATGGGAGGGTAATGAAGCCAGCCCTAACTACTGGGTGAGCAATAGTGAACAGAAAGATAAAGACATCTACTCAAAGAAACAATACTTAAATACATTATCTCTAAACTGATTATCAACTCTCCCTAGCCTATGCGTAAACTCCATTATCCTTCCTTTAGCTTACAAACTATAATTACCACTTAATATCAATTTATGGATAACCAATTTCGAATATTCATATGGCATTACTCTTAAAAATACTTGAATCCAACAAGGTACATACAAGGCATAAAATGTGCTTACTCCATAAGGGATACACATATGAATGTTACATATGATCTACCATAAAGTCATCTGATCTCGCAATAATGATTGCATAGATATGAATGACAAACTTTATGAAAATAATATATTAATACGTATTAAATCTTCTGCTAAAAAACACACTTTATAATTATTTATAATCATGCAATTGAATGATTGTACTATATAAGTATGCAGCAATCTACGAATTTGATTAATTTGCAAACCAATTATGTTTATATTATAATACTGTACAAGAGATAAAATTCACAAAAAGTATTGCACGTATGTGATATATTATTAATAAGTAGCTGCGTGACATTGTCATGCAAAACCAGGAACGGAAGGTAAATTTTCAGATCAAGTTGCAGATGAAACTGCTTTTATCATGAGTATTTTGTTTGCTTAACTTTTATAAGTTTTATTTGCAACTTTAAATTAGATTATATGTGCAATAGGTCAAATACTAACTATGTTATTTAGGTGGACTTTATATGCAATTCAGATAGATTAGTATTAGTATAGTATAGATATAGCATTCTTGCATATATGTAGTATTTTAAAATAAATTATTTACTTTTGTTGTTATTTTATTTCATGTAACTGATAAATATAATAAACATTTGTTAATTGGTGTATTTAAAATAAATTATTTATATTATATCAATCCATCATATTTTAGTTGGCAAATTTCATAATTGATTTGTTAAGTACCCAGGTATTTTACATTCACAGTTGCAATTAATCTGTCCTTAGTATTTGGGGCACTTTATATTCTAGGCCTCTAAAAATTGTGAGGAGTATTATAAAAGGGGTCTTTTAGTCTACGCTTTATAGTGATTTGCAATTAAACATAAGTGTAAAAAGTAAAGAATCAAGCATTCGATAACAGTAAGTGGGTTAGTAAAGTGATAAATGTGTCAATTCTTAAGTGTATATATGAAAAATACATACCTTTGAAGTATTGAACTTAGAATAGCTAAAATGAATGGATACAGTTAGATGAAATTTATCATTTTCTAGATAAAATCTGTAACATATTCTAACTGTATATATATTAAATTAAAATTTAATTACAGCTAAATACAATATTTATTGCAATAAGCCTCTAATTACGCAATCTCTCTAAATGTACTCTTAAATCCTAGCTTAAATATATACTTTATCTGCATAAGTGTATTTTTTTATTATTTCCCAAGCATCTCTTATAAAAGTTGAGTCTTTATAAAAGTTACTTAGAGAGTTTTAACTGTAGTACAATTCTAATTATTTAAGAATTATTATAATTTATCCAATAGGATTAAGACCGAGGCTCTTTTTTTTTTGAAACAACATTTGTATAAGTTACTAAACATCGTATTTAACTTTCTTAAAAATATAAGAAATTATACAAACATCTTAGTACTAACCACTTTGCTTCTATATGATATAATGATACAGTCAAAACAGCAAACAAACACAAGTAAAACTAAAAATAATTTAATAAATATATGACAAGTTAAAAGCCAAGATAATAAATAGAGAAATTAATATTATTCAATAAGCTAGAAAGGATAATTATTTGATCACAAACATCTAATTCACATTTTTTTTTTTTATCATGTGTCAATAAACAAAAGCTTATAGGTAAAAATCTAAAAATCACAAGACGAAGTCACAAGATTATAATAACCAATTGGATAAAAAAGAGACACACCATTTCAGATGCTTATAAACGTTGTACATTGTATAAACTCCATTCTTGGTATATTAATACATCTAGCTATTAGTACCAGATATAAAACTTTATCAAGTAATTTTTATTGAGAACACACTGAATTCAAGAGGTATAGATCATTGGCTAATTTATATTCGATCTTTCAATAAGATCATTGTTAATACATATACGTGTAATTTATAGAGTTCTAAAACAAGTAACTGATTAAAATTGTACTCATATACTTTCTTGTATGCTGTTTGTCAGCCTGTCTGAATTGGTCAAAGCTGAAATGCTAGTTTCAACTGGTATCTTACACAACTTCAGAACTTAGTAATGTTATTTTTGGCATATTTTTCCTTAGCTATTTTTTCATTTCGTCAACTTAAATAATTATAAGTTTTTGCATAATAAGTACTATTTATTTTAGTTATTTGGTTTATCTATTATCTGAACAGGATAGGTAGATTCCACCTCTATACTAGTTTATTAATATTTTAAGAATAAATTAAAATAATCATATGCGATTATAAATTTACTCTGCAATACCTGTATCTAATAAAATTACATATAATTATTATTGCTTGATCAGACTTTATTGTTATAATAAAGAGAATAGATCTGCTGAGTCACTTAATAACAAGGGGTAGAGAGATGATAGAGCTAGCCTTTATCAAGGCAAGTGATAATGAACAGAAAAATAACGGACTTCTATCTGATGAACAATTCTTAAATAGCTGCTAATCTAACTAACTGCCCTACCCCTTCCGCTTGCTATTCATATGCCTTAACTTACCACTAACATACAGTCATAGGCAGTTTATTGAAAACAAACAAGCAATTATGAAAATCACAGATTTGTTCATAATACTTATACTCAACAAGATATATAAATTATTATAAAAGGTTAATACTGTAATACTACTTACATGAGATCTGCAATCAAGTCGCAATAATGATTGCTTTGTTACTTCGTTGACAAGCTTATCAGAACAAGTTTTAATTATCTAAAATGTGTGATGCTATCGTAATCTGAGTAAGTTATATAATCTTATACTTTTTATATTGTTTGTGCTAATCTAAAAAGGCAACTAATGCAAATTTATAGGTTTATATATAAGAAGAAAGTAATATTACTAAAAAAATAAGTTTTATAAGAGGTTGTGTTAAATACGTGAAAAATCTAAAAATAAATTTAGAAAATCCTTCAAATTCACAAAGAAACAAAAATTTATATGAAATACTTTTTAAGGCAAAGCATTTATGCCTCTAAGAATTTTTGTCATTCTTCACAATGTAATATTCAATAGATTAGATAAAAGATAATAAAAATTTTTGTAAATATAAGAATATATAAATTGTATTAATAAAAAGATCTAAAACTCAGAGTTTTATTTAAAGATTTCACCGCACTCTCATATTATTGTTTTACTAATCCAAATTGTTAGAATTTTTTCTCTTATTTTAGTCTTTTATTAGTTACTTGAAGGTTTTTAGCTAAGCTATTTATTTCTATCTATAATAATTAATAGCAGAAATAATGGGCCGAAATCGCTACAAGTGGTCTATATATTTTAAAATACTTGATGAACTTGCAAATAAAAGTAATAAAGCTGCTATATGTTATACCTGTTTGGAAGCTTTGAGAACTGAAGCCAAAAAAATAACAAACAAGGCAAATTTATGTTATAATCACTTAAAATTTTGTCCATACTTCGCACAAAAATATTCTTTTGAAGAATTAGAAAAAATTCTTCAAATCAATAATGAATCTAACTCTGAATCTAGTGAAGAAGATTCTGTAAAAAAAAGTAAATAAACAGGTAAATTTTATTTTTAATAAGTTTAAAATACTATAGTAATTGTAATAACTCATATTAAAATAATTAATAGTCTCTCAAAATAATAATAAACTGGTTAAAAGAAAAAAACAAACAAATGTTAGTCAATACTTGTATCATCTATTACCTAATAATATTCAACAACAATTTGAGCAACATTTAATCTGTGGAATAGTAATGAATGGATTACCATTTAAATGAATACAGGATGATGATATTGTAGCTGCTTTTAAACTTGTTAATCCTGAAATTAAACTACCTTCATGTCACAAATTAAGTGAATCTATTCTAAAAAAAGAAGTAAATATTATGAAGGAGCAATTTGAACTTATAGTAAAGGATGATAATACTGGTATAACTTTAATATTTGATGGATGGAAAAATGTAGTTAAGCAAAAAATAATGGGTACTGTACTTATTACCTCTAAAGGTAAAGCAATCGTATAGAATGCTGAAGATATTAGCTCAGAAAGAAGTTGTACTTTTAATATAAATTTATTTACTGAATGGTATATTGAGGATTTGGCTATAAAAGATATTAATGTAATTAGTGTCATTTCAGATTCTGCAGGAGAAAATGTTAAATCACGGTATGTATATATCTTTATATATTTAATTAAAACCTATTTCTAAAATAATTAAATTTTTTTTATACTAGAAAAGAACTACGATTACAATATACAAATATTGTGTTTTTGCCTTGCTTTGCCCACCAGGCAAATTTATGTGTGGCTGATATTTTTAAGTCTTCAGAAAGATATAATGAAATTTCAAATAAAGCTGTAAAAATTATTGGCTGTTTTAATACATCTACTTACTTTTTAGAGAAACTTCGTAATCAGCAAATGCATCTTTATAATGGAAAAGCTTATGCTTTAACATCACCTTGTAATACAAGATGGAATAGCTTTTATAATAGTTTTAATAGTATCTTAAAATCGAAAGGAGCATTAATGGTAATATTAAATTATTTTATTACTGTATTAAATTTATTATTTTTATTATTATTAATTATAAAATAATTTAATAATAATTATATATATTATAGATACTTGTAACTAATATGGAAAATTCGACTAATCCAGATGCAAAAAAGGTTCCATTTGATATAGCTGAAATTATCAATGATTCTATGTTTTGGAATGATTTAAAAGAATTAGATGAAATTCTTCTTCTATTTTGTGCAACACTTAATAAACTCCAATGTAAATTAGCATGCTTATATGATATTATACATGCATATGTATAGATAGTTAAAACTATTCAAAAAAGACCTGATTCACCATTTCATTCACATATGTTATTACGTTTGGAGAGACGATGATCTCAATGGGAACAGCCACTTTTTATATTATCTTGGTTACTTCATCCAAGCTATGGTTTAAAAAAACTTAATATTCATCTAAATAGTTTATTAGCACCAATACTTGGAAAATGGGTAGTTTATTATTATACAAATTGGTTTTTTATAAGACCAAAAAGTATTTTATTAGAACTTGAAGATTTTTTAGCAAATAATTCACTATTTGATACTATATCTTTTGACCAATTTCATAATGATATAATTAAATATTGGTTATTTATTAAACGTGGAACTCATAAAGAACTTGCAAATCTAGCACTTCGCTTATTTGGAATTTGTATTAATAGTGCTTCTGTTGAGAGATTATTTTCAACAATGGGATTTTTGCATAATAAGTGAAGAAATAAACTTGGAGTATGTTATATTAAATTTTATTGAAATTCTAATTATAAAAAATATAAGTATAATGCTATAACTTGTTATAACTATAATAAGTTATAACATTTTTGCTATAACTCATTATAGTTACAATAAGTCATGGCATTATACTAACTAATATAATTATTTTTTAGTATAAAAAAGTTTTTGAAATGAGTCAACTACAAGGCAAAATTATACAAGAACGCAAGTTAAAATCTATTGAAAAAACAGCAAAACAAATTCACAACTCTAATATTCTATTACCAATAGTTTCTAATTCTGAAGAAAACTATTCATCTCAAGAATCAAATTCAGAGCTTGATCAAGTTAATGATAATAAAATTAATATCAATATTCAGTGGAAAGAAGTAGTTGCAAATTGGTTGATTCTTTTAAGAAATGAACAGTTTGAAAAAGATTTGGATTTGACAAAAATAGATGAAACGGTTCATCCTGCTACTAGCCAAGAAGCTAAATAGCCTTTATTACAAATTTTTCAAGATAATATTGAGCAACCTGATTCATGTAATTTGTTATTAGGAAATTAAATAGTTAAAAATTTATAATAAAAAAATTTATTTTAAATTTTTTATAGCATTTAAATTTACCTATCTTATTCTTAATTTTAGTAATATTTATATGTAAAATAGTTTAGAACATATATATATATTATTTGTTAATATAATTTTAATCTTTTTTAGTAGTGATAGCAAATTTAAAGCTAAAATTAGAGCTGAAAACCAGCATATATAAAATTATTGCATATAAAGCTGTACCAAATTATAGTATATCAATATATACTAAAATTTTTATTATGAATAACTTCATGCACTTGTGAATACAATCTAATAAAATTACAATTTCAGTTAAATTGTCTCTAAACTCCAATTTGATATGAAAGGACCCAAATAGTTAGCCTTTATATTTATATAAGTTAAATAATTATATAAACTATTAGATAATTATAAAAATGATTAAATAATTAATAAATAAGTAGTTGTGCAATGTTGTCATGCAAAACCAGAAACAGAAAAAATCTACGCAGACATCATTTCAGTCATAGAGAACCATATTCTTTATTGCAATCTATTCTTGATATAAGAAAATAACTCTTTATAAAATAAGTTGATAGTACTTGCAATCTGAATATTGGTTTGAATTTCAATAACTGAGTCTAAGAACCTATTGATGAAGTCAATGTCTAACTGCTATATAGTTGGTTAGCTAGCATCACTCAGTTCTGATAAATCTGACCCAAAATTCTAAGGTCTTGCAAAAATATTAAAAATTTATAAAACATATCTGTATTTAGAAATGATTGACAAATGCTTTCGATTAAGTCTTTGATGATCAGTAATTATCATTTTATTAGTTTGATAAAAAATTCGATAAAAAAAAATAAAAATTACCAAATATTTAGTATTAAGGCCTTTGAAATTATGTTAAAACACTAATTTTTGTGTCTAAAAAACTTATTTTTACTATCTTTTGTTATAGCATCTTCAATTTTACAGATGTATGCATTTATTTATGTTTTTTTAAAAAAAATATCGAATGATGAATAAGTCATATAAACCAATCAATTTCAAGGTTTTGCATTTGTTTCTAATACCTACCTTTTAAAGTATTGTTCAGGGTGCTATAAAAGTCACAATAACAGATTATCCAATCATATGCTGAGAATCACACATGCATATTAACTTGCCTGTAAACTATATACTACGTAATTTATACTCCATTTCTGATATAGTTAAACAATTGATAAATAGTCAAGTGATTAATAAATAAGCAAGCGATTAATAAATAAGCAAACGATTAATAAATAGTTAAATAATTAATAAACAATTAAATGAATAATAAACAATTAAACAGTTAATAAATAGTTAAACAATTTTTACTTATATAATATAAAGTTGAATAACATGATTAAATTTTTTGTAGTATTAGTAATATAGTAGAATCATCCTAATAATTATTGTAACTAAGTTTAAATTTTTGTAAATTGCCTCAACTATAGTAAATAATAATAAGTTATAGCATTATAGCTGTAACATATTATTATTTACTATAGTTATAGCAAGTTATAAAAATTCAAACTTAGTTACAACAATCATTAGGATAATTCTACTGCATCACTACTTTATATAAATATATAGCTTATTTATCTTATTAATTAATAAAAATTATATAAACTATAAATGACAAGCATAGTCATAAAAAAATAAATAATTTTTTTATAACAAAAATGACTTGTCATATGACAATATGTTATTTATTTTTAAATGACAATGTGCCATTACTGCCTCAGAGTGGTTTGATAACTCAACAGAACCAGTTTACATTCATGTTTGAAAAACACAGAAAAATTATCATAAAGATCAATAAAAATAATTCACTAATAAAAATTAGTGCTGCTAAAGATAACAGATACTCTTTTATGCTTATTGCTATAGAAACTACAATCAAACAAGAAGATTCTAATGTAATCTGCTTTGATAACAACATTTTGGAATTCAAGATTTTTATTACGAAAAACTGATTTATAATAATAGGGATTTTAATAATTACTTTTTAGGATAAATGTTTATAGCATATTTTTTATTTAAAGACAAATTGTTTTAATAATTTTTTTTTTTTTGAATATCCCTGTTGCTTTAGCAACTAGGGGCGCAGATGGCACTCTTTATTAAAATATTATTATATAAAAATATTATGA